GAAGGAATAGTGCCCCATCATTGGTGTCAGTGGGAGGAATAGTGCCCCATCATTGGTATCAGTGGAAGGAATAGTGCCCCATCATTGGTGTCAGTGGGGAGGAGAAATAGTGTCCCATCGTTGGTGTCAGTGGGGGAGAGGAGCGGCTGCTCCTTCTTTCAGTACGGCTGCTTGATTTTCGCGGGGCCGTTCGGCTCCGCCTCCTCGCCGGTGATTGGTCGCCTGTGTGCCTTTCCAGTGCTGGCGCCCAATCACCGGTGAGGAGGCGGAGCCGAGCGGGCGGCGGGGGACCATCGAGCGGCCGATACTCAAAGAAGGAGCAGCCGCGCTTCCTGGACCGGATCGTCGTGGGACCGGGACCGGAGCCAGGTAAGGTACAGGAGGAGGAGGGGGGGGGGGGGGGGGGTGGCGGTGGCGCCGCCCCTCGAAAAAGTGCCGTCCTGACACCGGCTCGCCGTATACCGGTGTATAAGACGACCCCCGACTTTTCAAAAGATTTTCAGGGGTTGAAAAGTCGTCTTATACGCCGGCAAATACGGTACTCAAGCACCAATGATGAGCGCTATAAAGTGACAATAGTGTGTCGTCCTAATTATGATTAATAAAGTGACATTAACGTATAATATAAACGTAAATACAAGTCCAAGAGACAATCATTCTAGAACAAATAAATGAATGTATCAATATTCCAGTGTCTTGGGATACAAGTCATTCTCACAGATAATGCGTGGAAATAAGGTGCTCGTGACTTCTGTGGTATGGAAAATGAGGTACGCTTGCACTCACCGGACGCACAATAATATTACGCTTGTATGTATTATCTGGAAAGGCATTGGTAGGAATAGGGCACTACACACACGGAAGGACTCCAGACCTTCAGTAGGACCCTCACAGCATACAGGGACTGCTCCTTGGTCTCACTTACACCAGGCATCAAAATATGTCAGGAAAGGTAGGTATCCACCTTGAGTAGCTCAGAGATTAAGCCACCAAACAATAATAGCTGGTATAGTGTAGTATTTTATTCAGCCAATAGTATTGTGCTGACAGCAAGTAAACTAGTACAGCATCAGAAGAAAAACACATGTGTAACCGTATACAGTTGTGCTCAAAAGTTTGCATACCCTGGCAGAAATTGTGACAGTTTGGCATAGATATTGAAAATACGACTGATCAATAAAAAAAGCATTTTTTGGCATGATGGATGATGATCATATGAAGCCATTTATTATCAAATAGTTTGGCTCTTTAAATCATAACAGAAATCCCCCAAATGGCCCGGATCAAACGTTTCCCTCCCCTGGAATGTTTGGCCTTGGTACAGACACACAAGGTGACACACACGGGTTAAAATGCCGATTAGAGGTTAATGTCCCACATCTGTGACTTTTTAAATTGCAATTAGTGTCAGTGTATAAATAGTCAATGAGTTTGTTAGCTCTTACTTGGAAGCATTGACTAGGCTGAAGCATGGGGATCAGAAAAGAACTGTCAAAAGTCCTGCATAACAAGGTAATGGAACTTTATAAAAATGGAAAAAGGACATAAAAAGATGTCCAAAGCCTTGAATATGCCAATCAGTCCTGTTAAATCACCTATTAAGCAGTGGGAAGTCAGGGAATCTCTTCATACCAAGCCAAGGTCAGGTAGACCAAGAAAGATTGCAGCCACAACTGACAGAAGAATTGTTCGGGGTACAAAGGGAAACCCATAGGTAACCACAAGAAAAATCCAGGCTGCTCTGGAAAGAGACAGTGTAAATGTTTTGAAGGAGCACAATATGATTACACCTCAACAAAAATGAGCTGCATGGTGGAGGTGCCAGAAAGAAGCCTTTACTGCATCAGTGACACAAGAAGGCCCGGTTAGGCACGTCAAGGTGTTGTCAGGCATATTGTAACCGGGTTTTCTGTGGCATTGGTGCAGTAAAAGCTTCTTTCTAGCACCTCGACCAAACAGATCATTTTTGTTCCAAGTATCACCCTATTGTATTCCTTAAAAACAACCACACCGTCTTTTTCCAGAGCAGCCTGTTTTTCTTTTGAGGTTGCCTGGGGGGTTTTTCTTTGAATCCCAGACAATTCTTCTGTCAGTTATGGCTGCAATCTTTCTTGGGCTACCTGACCTTATCAAGAGATCCCCGAACTTTCCACTTCTTAATAGGTGATTTAACAGTACTGATTGGCATATTCAAGGCTTTGGACATCTTATTATGTCCTTTTCCATCTTTATAAAGCTCCATTACCTTGTTACGCAGGATTTTTGACAGTTCTATTCTGATCCCCATGGCTCAGTATCTAGCCTAGTCAGTGTTTCCACGTAAGAGCTAACAAACTCATTGACTATTTATACACTGACACTAATTGCAATTTAAAAAGCCACAGATGTGGGACATTAACCTTTAATTGGCATTTTAACCTGTGTGTGTCACCTTGTGTGTCTGTACCAAGGCCAAACATTCCAGGGGAGGGAAACTTTTGATCATGGACATTTGGGTGATTTCTATTATGATTTAAAAAGGAGCCAAACAACTATTTGATAATAAATGGCTTCATATGATCATCATCCTAAAAGAGCATTTTTTGGCACGGTCATATATTTGAAATATCAATGCCCAAATTTCATAATTTCTGCCAGGGTATGTAAACTTTTGAGCACAACTGTATGGACAAAAGATGGCCGCCAGCCCAGCATGTGGCCTCGGCAATGAATGAATGTCAGCGCGGCAGGCTCCTCCCTGATGCGTTTCGTGCGAAAGCACGTTGTCAAAGGGATAGGTTTATAGACCCATGCAAACTTAAAAAAGGTACCTTTATCTGCGGTTCCTGTACCTACTGTAAATATATGCATACTGAAGTGAAACCTAGACTGCCCAATGGGGTTTTTTTTTTTTTTTTAAACCTAAACACTTTGCCAACTGCAAAACCTTCAGGATTGTTTATCTCTTGAGCTGTGAATGTTTTTATGTGGGTAAACAAAGTTGGAATTTTGGAGACGAGCCTATTGACGCATAAAAAAGTATGAAAACCTGTGACCCCAAATTGCCTTTAAGGCAACATACCATCTTTGTGCATTATGGCAGGTTTTCAAGAATTCAATTTCCTATCCTTGATCGGATACATCCAAGCCCTAGGGCAGGGGACTGGAACAAACTGCTGCTACAGTTGGAACTGTGGTGGATTTTCCAAACTAAGCACATGTGCCGGAGATTGCCGATCGGCTGCTAATGCCTGAAACTGGCACATGCGCAGATACGTCGAGGGGGGCAGATCCTCATAGGAGACAGATTTTCATGCTACACCGGAACGTCGCGGGAACACGGCGAGAGGAACGCACGGAGCAAAGGTAAGTGAATTGACACAGGGGGGGACTTGGGGACTTAATATGGGGGATGAATTAATATGGGGGATGAATGACTATAGGGGGGATGAATGACTATAGGGGGGATGAATGACTATAGGGGGATGAATGACTATATGGGGGATGAATTACTATGCTTACTATGGGGGAATATTACTATACTTACTATGGATAACACATACACATCATTCATCTACTCTTGGTCCGGCCCGCGGGTCCAATATATGAACCCATTGCGGCCCTCAAGTCAAAAAGTTTGCAAACCCCTGATCTAATATTACATAGTTGTCGATGCTTTTTGTATATTGTATTATTATGCATTGGTGTGTGCCTTGTTCCGCTGTTCTCTATTTGACCTGTATGGTGGTGGGGATCGAACCGGGCGAGTACGGGCCCCAAGTGGTGCCTGGCACGCACAGGCTGCGTCACATTTGTAGTCGGCACGGCTTTGTGCTATGGTCCCTGGAGCTTGTAATGCCTCCCCTTTCAGGAGGCCTTGTTTACCACTTTTCCGCCCGATGGCCATCTTTGTGTGTGTCGGTGGTCTGCTGATGCGTGATGTCATCACGCACTACGTGATGGGGGGCAGAGCATGATGCCCAGAGGTGGGAGCACTCTGGTGTTCGGTGCCATTTGTGACTGGTGGGCTGTGACCCATTAGATGTGCATACTTTCCGAGATATATAAAATAGATCTCCTACATTTGATTTCATTTCTCTTTCATTATACTTGGTGGACAAGGCTGACCCATCACTGAGGTTCTCTAACTCTTCACCTAGCTAAGCCGGCTCCTCTTTCTTTGATTACCCCCCAATGGGGTTGGATATGTGATTATACCTATATATTTTTCCACTATGTATACGTGGGAAGCGCCCCCCCCCCGCTGAAACCTACGAGAGGCGGCCCTCCCCCCCCCCCCCGAAGCCTACGAGAGGCGCCCCCCCCCCCCCAGAAGCCTACGAGAGGCGCCCCCCCCCCCCGAAGCCTACGAGAGGCGCCCCCCCCCCCGAAGCCTACGAGAGGCGCCCCCCCCCCCCGAAGCCTACGAGAGGCGCCCCCCCCCCCCCGAAGCCTACGAGAGGCGCCCCCCCCCCCCCCGAAGCCTACGAGAGGCGCCCCCCCCCCCCGAAGCCTACGAGAGGCGCCCCCCCCCCCGAAGCCTACGAGAGGCGCCCCCCCCCCCGAAGCCTACGAGAGGCGCCCCCCCCCCCGAAGCCTACGAGAGGCGCCCCCCCCCCCGAAGCCTACGAGAGGCCCCCCCCCCCCCGAAGCCTACGAGAGGTTAGGGATCCCGAGAACAGAATGAAAACTCCACCTACAAGCTTTAACATGTGCTCTGCTGGACACTGATAGAAGTCACAAGACTGCTATATACTGCTGATGAAGGCAGGGTGCGGGGAGAGCAGACACAGTGAAGGCAGGGTGCGGGGAGAGCAGACACAGTGAAGGCAGGGAGCGGGGAGAGCAGACACAGTGAAGGCAGGGAGCGGGGAGAGCAGACACAGTGAAGGCAGGGAGCGGGGAGAGCAGACACAGTGAAGGCAGGGAGCGGGGAGAGCAGACACAGTGAAGGCAGGGAGCGGGGAGAGCAGACACAGTGAAGGCGGGGAGAGCAGACACAGTGAAGGCAGGGTGCGGGGAGAGCAGACACAGTGAAGGCAGGGTGCGGGGAGAGCAGACACAGTGAAGGCAGCGTGCGGGGAGAGCAGACACAGTGAAGGCAGCGTGCGGGGAGAGCAGACACAGTGAAGGCAGCGTGCGGGGAGAGCAGACACAGTGAATGGCAGCGTGCGGGGAGAGCAGACACAGTGAAGGCAGGGTGCGGGGAGCAGACACAGTGAAGGCAGGGTGCGGGGAGAGCAGACACAGTGAAGGCAGGGTGCGGGGAAACCAGATATAGCGAATGCAGGGTCCAAGGAGACCAGATATAGTGAATGCAGGGTCCGGGGAGACCAGATATAGTGAATGCAGGGTCCTGGGTTTATTAACACTTTAGGTCAATGCTCCTTGTGGTCAACTAACTTATCAGGGAAACCTGCAGTACGAACCTGGAAGCCTAGTCTTGCAAGTCATTGAAGGTCTCTTCCGTCTCCTTTGTCTATAAGCGGTTATTACGTACCTACCCCTCTGACCAACCCTTCAAGTCTACGGGCAGCTTATCTGCACTTTTCTGACTGCTGCTGAAAAGACAGAGACAATGAACCTGATCAACTATCAACTCATTCACAATTGTACTAAAGGCTACAGAGTAATGCCTGGTACACAAGGAGAAAATCATACAAAAAAATTTAAAAAAGTTTTTCAGAGCGATCAGCCAATAATCTGATCGTTCATACACAGCTTTTGAGAGCTGATCACGACAGTTCAACAAACAAGCACAACATTTTTCTAAAGAGATAACAGAACAAACGATTTTCGTTTAATCAGTACAATATTCAAACAAGTGACCAAGACCGCGCATGCTCAGAAAACGAAAGAATAGAATACATTATTGTGGGAAGTGGTATTCTGACTTAAGAGAATTTTCGTAACCTATTTGTTTTTGTTTTTGAGACTAGCGTGCCAAAAAAAAAAAAAAAGGGGGCAATCATTCGTCTAATATTCTCACGGTGTATACTAGGCATTACCAGCCTTATGGTGAGTTATAAAGTACATACTGGTTTGTGGATGATTGCTATATGGGAGTCAATATATAGCTAAAAAGGTGATTCAATGAAACCCAGAGAGCATTCGGATACTTATTAACAAAGTCTGTGTAGGGAGAGAAACATGTAAACTCTCGTATCCTACCTCTAACCTACTGCCAGGAGTGCCTAGCCGGGTTTTACATGGATCCGATCTCTGCTGTTTCAGTATTACTGCAACCTGCCCATGTTCTGCTGTACTGGAATGATGCAAGCCCTCCTCCCACTGTATTCCAAGAACCTACCCATGCCAAAGGCCCTAGAAATTTGCTTGGAAGCACTGATACCCAAGCTGAAGCTCAACTCCGTTATAAGCAGATATTGTCTAAATATCAGAGTCATGTGTATTCCCTTCTTGAATCTTTGTGTATTTCTTCCAGATCTGTGAACTAATCCAGTGCAATATATGTACATTAGCTTCCTGTAATACAGACCAGACACTGCTGGCCTCTCTCCTTGTGCAGGCTGACTGGTCTCGTCTCCGCCCACTCCTTCTGCAGGCAGCCTGCAATGAGCAGGGCCTGCTGAGCCCCTCCTACAGCTCTGCTCTCTGTGCAGGCTATGTATAGCACAGTGATGATGGTTACAAGGCAATATCAGGGTTTGCAAAAGCATATTGTGCACACAAAGTTCATTAAATCCTTTTTTTTCCCCCCTCGATTTCAGGAAGTTTTTGTACTTTAAACGTACACCTGTGCCCAACTACGGACATATCTTTAGCCACGTTCCCTCTACACTATAGCAGTTTTACTGCTACAGGGTGGCATTCCTGTGCAAAATCATGTAACCATAATTTTTCACTTTCACCACATGGGGGCACGCACATTCAGCTGGAGGAAATCTTCATCTGTAAATTGTCATAGCACAAAATGATCTGCAAGCCCCAGCAAGCAGTTGTTCGCTGGCATCTGCAAATCATCAGTCAGGGAGGAAGAACAGAGCTATGGCTATTTTTATATCTATCCAGCATCTTACATCCATCCATCAGCCATAGCACTGTTCTGACAGGGGAAAGTCATGAATCGTGCATCACTGCAGAGCTGAGAACACCATCCATCACTTCCCCTAGTACAAGCACTACCTAGTGTACACCAAGCGCATAGCTAGGCACAAACTTAACTTATGTACCATAGTTTGTAGACGCTACAACTGTTGTGCAAACTAATTCACTCCCTGGTCATATCACGCCTCGACTACTGTAACTCCCACCTCATTGGCCTAACTCATCGTAGACTATCCCCCCTCCAGTCTATCATGAACGCTGCTGCCAGACTCATCCACCTCACTAACCATTCCGTATCCGCCACCCCTCTCTGCCAATCCCTCCACTGGCTCCCAGTTGCCCAAAGGATAAAATTCAGAACTCTGAAATAGAAAACCATCCACAACACTGCCCCAACTTACATAACCGATCTTATCTCTAAATATCACCCAAACCGTACACTCCTCTCATCGCAAGACCTCTTACTCTCTCTAGCTTCCTTATCTCCTCCTCCCACGCTTGTCTCCAAGACTTCCCCAGGGTGTCACCCATCCTCTGGAACTCCCTACACCAATCTATCAGATTATCACCTACTGTACTTGCCTTTCGGCGTCCACTGGGAACCTCTCTCTTCAGGGAAGCCTATCCCGCTTCTGCTAATTCTGGTATCCTCTACTCTTCCAACCACTCCATCCCCCACAGTGACTACCTACTGTACCATTCACCCCGCCCTCCTAGATTGTAAGCTCCAAGGAGCAGGGCCCTCCAATCCCTCTTGTATTGAACTGTATTGTCTCCCACTATAATGTAAAGCGCTGAGCAAACCGTTGGCGCTATATAAATCCTGTATAATAATAATATTAATCAATATCAAAATCCTAACACTGACGTACAAAGCTGTCCACCATACTGCCCCGAACTACATCACTGACCTAATATCCAAGTACCGCCCAGCACGCACACTCCGCTCCTCACAAGACCTCCTTCTCTCTAGTTCCCTGGTCTCCTCCTCCCATGCCCGCCTCCAGGACTTCTCCAGGGTGTCACCCATCCTCTGGGACTCCCTGCCCCAACTCATCAGATTATTACCTACTCTCCTCTCCTTTAGGCGCACCCTGAAAACCCATCTCTTCAGGAAAGCCTACCCCACCCCCTGCTAACTTGCCGACCTCCTCCACTCTTTCTACCACTCCATCCCCCACAGCTATCTCCTCCTGTGCCACCATCCCCTCCCTCCTAGATTGTAAGCTCCAAAGAGCAGGGCCCTCAATCCCCTCATGTTTTGCATTGTATTGGTATTGTTCTGTCACATGTTCTGTCACCCTTTGTAATGTACAGCGCTGAGTTAACTATTGGCGCTTTATAAATACTCAATAATAATAATAATCTACAATTGTTTTTTTTTTTTTTTTACCAAAAATACGTAGCAGAATAAATTTTGGTCTAAATATATGAAGAAATTTGATTTTTAAAATTGTTTATTGGATATACTTTCTAGCAGAAAAAAATAAAATATATATATATATATATATATATATATATATATATAAAAAAATTATAAAAAAATTCTGCTAGAAAAAAAAAAAAAAAAAATATAAATATATATATATATAATATATATATATATATATATATATATATAAAAAATTTTTAATCCAAAATTTTTGTTTATAGCGCAAAAAGTAAAAACCGCAGTGATCAAATATCACCAAAAGAAAGCTCTATTTGTGGGGTAAAAAAAAAAGAAATTGAATTTTGGGTACAGCAGTGCATGACCGCACAATTGTCAGTTAAGGTAATGTAGCGCCGTATTACAAAAAATGGCCTGGTCAGGAGGGGGGGGGGGTAAATCTTCTGGAGGGCAAGGGGTTAACAAGCAGTGAAAGAGCTTTAAAATGAAGGCATCCCTAACAGATTTATCTACATGTACTGTGCAAGAACACAGTCAAACCAGGGATTTAACGAAGATGTCGTGCGCCATATTAACAGAGCAGACAGACCAGTTTCAGGGGAAAAAAGGGCCATAGTTTGGAAACCTTCATTTTAAAGCCCTTTTTAAATGCTTCTTACAATTGTGGTCATTGGGAAGAATTACCCCCTTACATGCAGCTAAAAAGATCAATGGTGTCACCGGGAACTTATGAGAAGCAGAAATTGCTCAATGCTCAAGGAACCCCTGGCAACATGTGGGTGACCTCTAGGGTTCAATGAACCCTGGAATAAACATTCCCGCAAAGAATGCCACATTTTATCAATTTATACAATTTTGACTTCACAATTCAGACCAAACTCTGGTGGTTGATCGCCCTCATGGTCAGTAGAGGTCTTAGAGACAGCCAGTAAACCCCCCAGCATGTTATCCTGTGTCCATGCACACAGACTGTAATCAACATTTTTTGGCTGGAAAAAAAAACAAAAAAAAAAAAAAAAAAAAACACAGGACTAGTGGGTTTCTAGAGGAGTTTTTTTTAGCTGTAAAAACGCTCTAACGCTGAAAAACCTCTAAAAAAAAATGCAAAAGACCCAATAATGACTATTGCGACAGCAGGGACAGAAAAGGGAAACCGCTATGATGTGAAGAGGAAGTTGAGTTACTCTCTCTTCTTCCTCTGTCACAACTCGCCGACCCCAGTGAAAGTTACCCTGAATAGCAAAATATGTAGGTGTGCAAATTTTATAATTACACACACACACACTTTTTTTTTTAATTTATACATAAAACACAATTTTTGAGGGTGAAATTATAATCTATATCTCCCTAACATTTGTACCCAAGCAGTTAGGTCTTTACAAATACACTTGGGTACATGTGTCACAGAAATGTCCTAATATGAATAAAAAGCGGAGCTATTCCTGCATGGTTTAAATATTTTTAAGTCTTTTGGTAACTTTTATGTCAATAGCTAATCCTGATGTAAGGCTTTATTCAGTGGCAGCTTTTCTGTACACACCTGGCTGCTACAGCACCTAGAACAGCCTCTCCACCTTTTTTTTACTGTGAAGGGACCCTTGAAATATCTACCTGGGCCCATGAAACCCCTGCAATTAATTACTATATCTACAGCTCACGGTACATTAGGGTAATGGTCATTGGGAACAATGCCCCCCACACACACTGGTGGTCCATTGGGAACAATGCCCCCCACACACACACTGGTGGTCCATCGGGAACAATGGCCCCCACACACACTGGTGGTCCATTGGGAACAATGCCCCCCACACCACACACATTGGGAACAATGGTCCCCACATTGGGGAACAATGCCCCCCACACACACTGGTGGTCCATTGGGAACAATGCCCCCCACACACACTGGTGGTCCATTGGGAACAATGCCCCCCACACACACTGGTGGTCCATTGGGAACAATGCCCCCCACTTACACTGGTGGTCCATTGGGAACAATGCCCCC